CTCACCCCTAACACCTTCGACCCTAACACCCTCGCCCTTACACCCTCGACCCCAACACCCTCGACCCTAACACCTTCGCCCCTAACACCTTCGACCCTAACACCCTAGCCCCTAACACCCTCGGTCAGAAGAGCTCGACCCTCGATCGGAAGGCCTCGACCAAGAGGGCTTGACCCTAACACCCTCGACCCTAACACCCACGGCCGAGAGGGCTCGACCCTCAACCGAGAGTCGACCGATCTATAGGGGTCAAGTCACTCAGAGATTTACGGTCATGATAACAAGACCGTAAATCTAGTCGCTATATAAAGGATAAGTTCTGCAACTGAAAGGTAAGACTCTATTAATTCCAACACTCTTACATTCAATACATATAATTCTTTTTCTCCACGATAGTGACTTGGGCGTCGGAGGGTTTTGCGCCGGAGTAATTCCGGCGCTTTGCAGGTACCGGCGAACTCACATGCTCGGATCGGACCAAACAACTTAGCCCACAACTCAAATCGAAGAGGACCCTTTGAAGAACCGAAGTCTCTTATCTTGGACCATATCACTTACGAACCAACAAAAGGAACTAATTTTTCACGTCCATCCCTATAAAAACAACTTCAAACATGTCAGTGTCTAGACGTTTGAAGAGAATGGTGTCTGACGTGGATGAAGGTACGTCATCTCTTCTAAAAAATAAGGTTTCCCAAGCTAAAAGCATGGACGACTCTCCAGATAGACCCCAACTGTTTTCGAACTGACACTCCATTATGATCTTTGATCGAAAATAGGCATAAGTGTTACGAGGAAGAATATGCATTTGAAAATAATAAGTTGATGTAAATATTTATTAACTCAAAGTGAAACATAAATAATCACTCATTACCTGTTGGGGCCGTAGTTATTACCCTGTTGGGGTCTTGTAATTTGTACCTTTGCACTTTTGTGCTTTTCTATATTACCTCTATCGTTCCGAAAAAAAAAAAGAAACATAAATAATCAACTATCAAAATGAAATAATATCCTTTCTATCGTTATTGGGATGCGGAGGTATACAATCCTAACCATGAAATACATTTTTATTTTTTTTTTATTTTTTTATTTTTTGTACTACAAATAGTGATAAGGATTTGGATGTGGATGAAAATATTTGGACTTTAATTATAAAGTATTTATGCTGATTGCTAATGTTTCAAGTTGTCTCATAATCATTACTCCATCGTCAATGAGCATAATTGTAGACACGACTGTTCGAATGGCGGGTTGCCTCAAAAAATGCCAATAACTATGCGACTCATTTACGATGGCAATGGGACACATCGCAGGTCCATCGCAGTGTATGCAGACCCGTTGGTGGAAAATATTTATTATTATTATTGTTAAAAAAATTAATTGGTTACACTCGGAAAACGCTATTCTATATACGGTAGTTTTGTTCATGTGTGATTTTACACCATATTCATATAGTATCTAGAGCTTATTTGTCGCATTATTGGTGTATAAATTGCATATTTGTGCTTTAATTTTATATTTGTTGGAAAGGTATTACACGTGCTTGTTTTGTAGATATTTTCACATATTTGTAGAGCTTTGGCTATTGGAGGAGCATGGTGAGTGCCTGAGACTCCCGGGATAATGATAGATCGATGCACGGATGAAGAGAATGGAAGAAACGAGCTAAACGAGCCGAAAATAAGCGTACAGTGGTGTGACACGACCCGTGACACGGGCTCCAAGGTCGTGTCACCACCCGTGTCATCCAAACAGAAGAGTGCAAGTGCACTATACGTGACACGACCTGCGACTCGACCTGTGACACGGGCGTGTCGGGTCGTGTCGCGCGCGCAGACAGTTTTTATTCTCTTGCCTTTTTGGATAAGGAGAGGAGTTTTGGACATTAAAAAGAGCATATTAACCCTATTCTGAGGGAGGAACATAGAAAATACAAGGAGAAAGACTTAGAACACACAAGGGAAGCAATTGAGGAGCAAAAAGGAAGATCAACGAAGGGATCAAGAAGATTGAAAGATCGACGAGATTTCTAGTTTTTATTTATTCTTTCCTCTTGAACTTTTATTGATCATGTCGATTTCTAATATGTCTATGTGTTTGAATTCGAACATGAGTAGCTAGATTTATTGATTCTAAGACATGGTAGTAGATTAATATATTGGAATTTTGGATGATTTATTATAATTGATTGTTTTTCTTTTGAACCCTATTCAAGTATTTTGTTCTTATTCCATGTTTAGAACTTGATCAATTCTTTTACATGTTTGACAATATTGTTCATAATTCGAGAGATGAGTTCAATATTAGGTCTTTAATATTTGACATAAGTTACTTGCTTGAATCGAGAGATTAGTAGGTAATTGTGAGGATTTTAGCTCTTTTAATCTATTTGGAGTTGAATTGCATGTGTTGAGTGGAGACACTAATATATGTGATTTAATCTACGATTTTATCGATCACGAGAGGGACGATGGCTAATTTTGTGATCATCTTATAGGGTAGATAAAGAAAATAGTTAATTGTGATATATCAGAAGGAACACAACTGTTAATTGAACCCATAGTCTTAGAATCTACCATTCCCATATATTCTTCTTAAGTGTTTTTCTAGTTGTTTTCTTGTTATGGATTTCTTATCTTTTGATTTATTTTTTTAGTTTAGTTAATCAATCTTATATTCGGTCATCTAAATAAAATTGACACTATCATAATCTAGTACTTGATTAATTGGTTGTTTGGTCTCTTGGGATACGACCTTGCTTGCCACATACTACGAGCGAAGCCGTACACTTGCGGTCGAGCTTTAAAAATATAGGCGAACAAGTTTCGCGAAGGATATGTGTATACTCGCAGGTCAACCGCAGGTTATTCGCACTTTTGTGCAAAAATTTTATTTTTGTTATTTTAAATGTGTCATAATAAATCGCAGAGTATCCACCGAGTGATTTCCACAAACTCCCTTGTGTATTTCCTTCCTTATGCGTGTGGATTCTTATTCACTTAAGCACTTCAACAGGGGTGCCAAGTGCTCGCGCTTGTATAGCTTGTCTGCTACGATTGTGAACCGGGCTGCCCAGGTGTATAGTTGTCTGACCTCTTTAAGGTCTGATGGCAACGTGTCGACCTCGAGATAGGCTCTAATGGGCTGCATCCATCCAGGGTCATCCACCTAAGTTGTCAGCCTGACTGTTAGCAATTGGCTATCGGTCATAGCCGTCTGCTCTTATTGTCCGACCAGGACATACTCTAAATTCTTCATGGTCGCGCTTGCAGTTAGACGAGTGAGGGCATCCACTTGTACGTTCTCTGACTTAGGGATATGTTCTATTCAGACATGGACCTTGGCCATTTTATTCTTTACGAGGCCTAAATAAGGGTCTAGCCTGAGTTCCTTGACCTCGAACTCCCCATAAATTTGTTTTATTATCAGTATTGAGGTGGAGTAAATGACCAGGTCAGTTAAATTCAACGTTTCTTTCAGGACCAGCCCGGACAAAAGTATTTCATACTCGGCTTCATTGTTTGTGGCTGCAAATAGGTATCAGACCGAGTGGCAAAAGAGCCTTTACTAGGGATCGACGAGGACAACCCCTCCACCAGCTCTGTTGGTGGTGCAGAAAACCGCCCACATACATCACTCAAGGCTTAGTGTTTCTTACCTCTTCGAATCTGTGAGTAAATTCCACGTTGAAATCAGATAGGACTTAGCTCTTGATTACCGTCCTAGGCTGGAAATGAATGTCCAACTGTCTGCTCGACTGTTCACTTTACCATCCGACCTGAAGTGTCTAGTCGGTGGAGAATCTGCCTTAAGAGAAAGGTTGTCAAGACGTTCACAAAGTACTATAGAAAGTAGGAGCGTAGTTTTCGAGCTGCAGTGACCAAGGCAAAAGCTAGTTTTGCCATCGGTAGATAGTGCAACTCGACGTCATGTAAGACTTTGCTTACAGAATAGATCGGGTGTCTACATGAGGCTTCCTCCCGAACTTGGACTGCACTTATAGTGTTCGTTCGTTACTCTCTCTTACTCTCTCTCTCTCTCTCACTCTATGGAAGTCCTCTCCCACTTGAAAACACGAGTCTTTCCTCTTCTTCTTTTTATTTAGTTTAGGAATGGACGCGCACCCACAAACTACTTTTTTCATACGTACCGCGAAGGCCATTTTAGAACATGCAAATCAATGCGATCAGTCGACGACAGCGCTTCAGTGCGAATCCACTCCTCAACGGAGTTCAATTGTTCCATACACTCCAAAGCTCTC